TCCTCTTTCCAAACCTTCAATCGTGGCATTCCTCCTAGAAATGTTTCCTGATTCCCCCAGAATCAGTGTTAAGACCTCCTACCACATGCTCCCATAGAATCCTATGCTACTTCCCCAACCACAGACAATTATTCATTCAATAAGCATTCATTGAGAGTTTCTGATGTGATGGTCACTGTGTTAGGAACTGAGAATACAGATGTAAGCAAAAACATTCACAGGCCCTGTTAACAAGGATTTCAAGTCCAATCAGAGAGACTTACAATAGTTACACAGACAAGTGAATAATTACGCACTGTGATGCATGCTATAGAAGAAAGGATCGAGAGTAATGAGACTATGTAATAGAGGAATCTTAACCCTATCTTAATTAATACTGCAGGAGGCATTGGAGCAGGTTGTAGGGATTGATGTTTGGGCTGAAATATTAGGAGTGCATGTGTGAGGGAAGGTGTGAAGAATGTTCCAGAAAGAGGGGACAGCACATAGAACTGAAGTACAGCAATAATAGGGGAAAAGTGGTACAAGTTAAGGCTTAGAGACCCAAGTAGACCTCAGCTCATATAGGCACTTGAAGGGTTATCTTAAGAGCAATGGGAAGATAATGAAGGGTTCTGAGTGGGGGATGATATAATCAGGTTGACAGTTTGAAAAGATCATTTGATGCAGTGTAGAGAATAGATTGTAAGGGGCATGAGTTGGTGAGGGGAATACAGGTTACAAGGCTTTTATAGCACTCTGGGTGAGAAATGATTGTAGGATGGGCTATGGGGGTGGCAGTGAATATGAAAAAAATGAAATAATTCTAGAAATATTTAGGAGGTCTAGGGGAAAATAATTATATTTAGGACTTGAGGAAAGAAAGAGGTATAAGGATGAAACTAAAGAGAAGGGTCACAAGAACAAGAATATCTTACTTTGGACATATAGAAACATATCAACTTCCCTTAGACTCTGCTCAACCTCTCCTGTCCTCTCTTCTGTGGATCCCAGGTCTAGTCACCAGACTCAAAATCTCTGAATTATCTAAAACTCTGTTTAAGCCTTGTTCCCAATCTTGCCCACTCACCCCTACCCTAGTCTCCCTTCATCAAGATCAGTAGTATTACAAGTATTTTTTCAGAGGGGCTTCTGGAGAGACCACAAAATGATCCAAAAATGCAAGTCTTTTCATTGGCTCTTACAGGCAAGTGATGCAAAATTCTAGACTTTCATATTTTTTATGGTAACCAACTGAGTTATAAAGGAGTACTAAAATTTGTTAGTTATAAACTAAAATTAGCTTTTAACTGAAGTTCACAGAAGACTCTAATTCAGTTCTCTACTAAGAAGTCTGGCTGCCAGGCAATATTTGGCAATGTTGCAAAGCTCCTCCTGTACATATACATATGCAGCCGGTTAGAATTCTCACAATTTTCAGGAAGGACACTTTGTTATTGGGGCATTACTAGTGATGTTTTGAGCTGGTCATGGTTTATGGTGCCTGACATTCATGCATTTTAATGACACATTATGATTCATGGAGCTTCATCATGATCAATTTAATATGCCATGGATTATTTGATTAACCCTCTGGGATAGAGGGATGCATCTCTCTGAACTTATTTTCTGCCACTTCCCTCTTTCCCCTTCCTTGCTGATCTAGAACATGTGTAGCAAGCTCCTATCTCAGGTACTTTGAACTTGCTATGCCCTTTGTCTGGAATGCTTCCTCCCTAGATATTGCATTGCTAAATCTTTCATTTCCTTCAGTTTTTTTCACAAATGTCACCTGTGTGAGGCCTTCCCTGATCACTATATTTAAATCATAATCTTCTGATTTCCTGAACTTCCTACTCTATTTCTCTACTTTATTTTTCTTCTTGACACATACCACACCATCTGTAAACTATATATTTTATTTATTTGTTTATTGAAAATTTACCTCCCACTAAAAGTTAAGCTCCATGAGAGCAGAGGTTTTTTATTCTTTTGTTTGTTGCTCTATCACTAAAACCTAGAACTGTACTGGGCACATAGTAGGTACTCAACAAATTATTGTTAAATGAGAATGGCTATTTATCATAAGAACTTTTTTATTTCTTAATCTCCAATACTCAGCTTTTAAGGCATGGGTATATGTGGTTCAAATGTGAATTATTCATAGCCCTATTGCCAAAGCAGATATTAACGTGAACCTGGAAAAACATGCTTCTACTGTGACATTTCCTTGTTATCCCTCCTTTCTTGTCTCCCCATCCCAGGTTCATCCCTTCCTACCCTTCAAACACACTCAGAGCAAAATTTCCAAAGAACAGCTTGAGGCATTCAGAATTCATATTCAACTCATTTTCAGAAGTTACTATATTCCAGGCATTGTGTTAGGTACAAGGGAACTGAATCAACAATGAACAAAACAGGAAAAAATAAAATAAAATAATCGAAAACAAAACAAACAGCCTTGGCCAGTTTTCTCAGTGGTTAGAGCACTGGCTCACGGGCCGAAGGGTCATGGGTTTGATTTCCAGTCAAGGGCACGTACCTGGGTTGCAGGTTCGATCCCAGCCCTGGTCAGGATTGTGCAGGAGGCAGCCGATCGATGTGTCTTTCTCACATTGATGTTTCTCTCTCTCTCTCCCTCCCTCCCTCCCTTCTACTCTATCTAAAAAAAAAAATGAATGGAAAAATATCCTCAGGTGAGAATTACCAAAAACAAAAACCAAACAAACAGAAAAAGCAAGACAAAACAAACAAACCAAAAAAACAATGAATAAGGCAGACATGATTCTTGCCATCAGAGAGATTATATTCTAGTGGGGATATTATCCAATCCTGCCTCCTGAAAGGGTACTTAATCAGTTGTAGGAGAATATAGTGGCAAACCTGAGACCTGATATATGAAGAGGAGATGAAGGAGAGATTTGGGGCAGGGTGGCATAGAGCAGGTGGGAACAGACACAAAAGATTGTACCAGGCAGGTAGGCAGAGGAAACAACATTTTCAAAGGCCTAGAGGAGAAAGAGAATGTGACTGTCACTTTCCAGGAAGTCAGGACAGTTCAGTTGCTTTGGTTGTGCAGTTTTCACAGAGCAATGATGAGATCTGAAGTAGGGTGGGTAGCAGAGGCTAAAGCTTGCAAGGCCTTGCAGGCCATACAAAGCAAGCTGGACTTTTGGGACTTTATTCTAAAAGCAAGAGGAAGTCACTGAAAGGTCTGATCAATGGAGCAACATGAACAGTACAATTTAAACTCTTCTCTGTCCCCTAACAAACCAACCCTGATCTTCCCTTCTCCACTGTAGGCATCCAAGCCATAGCTGTCTCACATCCACCCTGAAGCTTTTCTGCTGCTCCAACCTGCATGTCTCCCTCCTCAGCTCCAGGAATCCCATTCTCTCTTGTATTTGTATGCCTGGGTTCTGCCCCCCCCACCCCCACCCCATTGGACTGATTGCACAGAGAACAGGGACAACTTCTCAAACCTTTCTAGGTTGTCCCACACTCAGCTCATCACTGATTGGGCTTTACTGAGACAAGAGGGTGATAAATACAATCCAGCCTTTTCTCACACCCCACAAACCAACATTTACATTGTATTAAAACAACCCTTCCCTGGGGGAAGTGGGGGAAAGTGTTGGAGTATGCAGGTTTCTCTGCTTCCTGTCTGTAGTCACCTCTCTCTGCTCTCAGTGTAATTAGCCTCTAACGTCTCCCCTAATGGGCTAGAAAAACTCATCCCTAAACTTATTCACACTGCAAGTGCTAGAAAAGACAACTCTAATCTGTAGTGACAGAAAGCAGATCAGTGGTTATCTGGGGTGGGGGGATTCAGGAGAACTGACTGGGTGGAGGCACAGGGTAACTTTTCAGGGTAGAGGAAGTGTCCTATATCTTGATTGTTGTGGTGGTTCACAAATGTACAAATTTGTCAAACCTTGTCAACATGTACAACTGAAATGGTCCATTTCATTGTATGTAAACCAGACCTCAGTAATGCTGAACTTAAAACAAACTAGACACAGGCAATCGTGTGAGGAAGGCCTGGGATGGGGCAGGGGCTAGGTGGAGGGGAGCAAAATGGTGGGGGGACACCTATAATACTATCAACAATAAATAAATAAAAATTTAAAAGTCAATAGACCAAAGCACAGTACATACATGAGCTTCAAAACAAAGTGCAACCCTGCCATAAAACTAGGGCATGGCCATATGGGAAAAGCAGCTTCCCCATGGTTGTAGAGATCTAAGAAAGATGTGTCCACCTGCTATGGAAGGCCAGATGAAAGAAGCAAAGGAACAAAGGCTAATATGGAGACCAGACCAAACTATGTAAAGTCACAACCAGCATGGACACAGATTTGTTCTCTACAAACCTCCGAATACCTAGGCCTGAGTGACGATTAGTGGGAGAGAGAGCAAGAAAGGGTCAAAGGTCAGTGAGAACACAGGCCAGCGGTTACAAGGAGAGAGAAGATTGGAGTCAACAAGGAAAGGATGATGAAGGACCAGTAGAGAGGTATGATCAGTAGTCATTGGCGGTGGTCAGAGTTCATCGCGAGAGGGCAGGTTGAAGTGTTTGTTACCTGCCTACGTGGCTGCTGTTTCTGGGGCATCTTCAAAGAAGTAGAAAGCACTTCAATATTTGGAGCGTCTACAAAACAATCCCTCGTCTGAAGACAAGAAGTTTGTCCGTCACCTCGATCATGCACGGGAAATCCGGTTCTCTTTCACGTCAATTCCCAGTCTCAAGGGTTCTTTGGGGACAGCCGTCAATGTGGGTCCCTGAGCCTTAGCGAGAGGGAATCGGCTCCTCCCCGACGCGGTTACCCAGCAACTAACCAGCAGCCCCCGCGCAGGCGCTTCTGACTCCTGGTCCCCGCTCGAGGGGGAGGCGGGGCTGGGCACGAGGGGAAGCACAGTTTCACTAAGTTCCGCCCCCTCAGTAACACTAAGATACCACCCCCTCATGAATAATGCACATTCGGGCGGTGTCCCGGACCCGGAAGTGGAGTTGCCGAGTCACCGCAGTGGCTGAGCTGCTGACAGGAGGCGGTGGCCGAGGAGGAGGCGAGGCCAGACTTGCGGCTCTGCCCCGCTACAGCCGCTGTAGTGCTAGGCGAGCCCACGGAGCCACGCGGGCCTTAACCCGCCAGCGAACCTTCCGCCCCGCTCCCACCCGTCGATCTGCTCGGCCGCCTGCCCTCCCTACTCGTCCGGGGCGGCCTAGTCTGCACCACCCAACCGGCTCCTGGGGCCGCCGCCCCGCGCGGTACTGTTGGCGTCCCTGGCCGCGCCCGGCCCTGGGCCCGCTCGCTCGCCGGCACCATGATGGAGGAGATCGACCGGTTCCAGGTGCCCACCGCGCACTCGGAGATGCAGCCACTGGTGAGGGGGCGGGCGGCGGGCAGGCCAGGGTCGGGAAGGGTCGCTGCCTAAGGGGGAAGAAGGAATCAGGCCTTGGGGACTGTACGAAGGGAGCGCCTTCAGATGGGGCAAAGAGAGCCATGAAAACATCGCTGGGGAGGGTGATCTGCAGGACATGAAAACCGTGGGAGAATCCGCGAAGAATGACGGCAAAGGAGCCTGTAAGGGCGGAGGGCACGGTCTGAGGAGGCAGGCCGAGGGAACTATGGGGAATGCCGTCGGATGGAACCGAGAGGGGTACAGTGATGCAAACCAATCAAGGCCCATAGCTGGGAAAGAAAGGAAACTGGCCTGGGGCACCGTGGGCAGCAGGCCTAGTAGGTTGGCGTGAGAGATGGGAAGGCGTTTAGCCCCGGAGGCCTGTGAGATTCAGGGCGGGGGATGGGGCCGGAGAGCAGTCAGTCTAAGAGGGCCTGGGAATAGGCTTGTACAGGAGGAGGGGCCTGCCCGCCGGTTTGCTAGATTTGGATGGGAACGCGGAGGCAGAGAACCATAGGCCAGAGGGTCGGTGCAGGATCCGGGAATTCCCTTCTCCGGAGGAGAGCGCAGGTAGTCTAAGCTGGCGGTACCGGAGCCAAGGAGGAGAGAGCGCAGAGGCGAGATGAAGAAATCAGAGGCACAGATGAGAAGGCTCCGGAACCGACGGGAGAGGGGGCGGGGCTGCGCTGGAGACGCTAGTGCCCACCGTTTGGAAGAGCCCCTATCATCCTAGGCCTACAAGCTTGGAGCCCTTGCTGGGCGCCGATCCTACCGCCTGTCAGCGGTCTCGGAGTAAGGGAGGAATGATGTCATCGCTGCCGGCTCAGAGGAGATGGAAGGGGGAGGGAGACGCGGGCGCACCGAGGCCAGGCCTAGGGCAGACCATGCCCGCTGCCCATAGCCCCGGAGTGGGGGTGGAGGAGTGGGGGCACCGGACTGGCTTGTCCGCCGCCAAGTGGAAGAGAGGCCTATTCTGTCAGTATAGGGAGAGGGAGGCGCGAGGGAGTGCCCGGGCCCTGTTTGCTTTTCTTTCTCCTTTCCTCCTTGGAGTCTTAGAGGGGGAGCGGGAAGGAGGCAGAGCAGGCCAGAAACCTAAAGGTTGGGTGCCCTATTCTCTGAGCTCTGCTGGAACCTAGCAGAGCTCTACAAGCCTTGAAGAGATTGGGCTCTCCTGCCCAGCCTGTGTGGCTCAGTGGTTGAGCGTCGACCCATGCACCAAGAGGTCACCAGTTCGATTCCGGGTCAGGGCATATACCCAGATTGTGGGCCCTATCCCCAGTGAGGGGCATGCAGAGGCGGCCAATCTATGTTCTCTGTCATCATTTCTCTCTCTCTCCCTCCCCCTCCCCCTCTCTCTAACATCATAAAGGAAAAAAATTTTAAAAAGCCCTGGCCGGTTTGGCTCAGCGGTTAGAGCGTTGGCCTGCGGTCCGGAGAGACCCGGGTTCGGTTCCCGCTAAGGGCACGTACTTCGGTTGCAGTTTGTCCCCGGCCCTGGTTGGTCGTGTGGGTGGCAGCCACTCGATGTGTCCCTTTCACGTCGATGTTTCTCTCTCTCTCTCTCTCCCACTCTCTCTGTACAAAAATTGGAAAAATGTCCTCGGGTGAGGATAAAAAAATAAAAAAATAAAAAGAGATTGGGCTCCCTAAGGCTCTTCCCTCTGTGTTAGGCCAGGAGGAAAGAAACAGTTTCTACCCTTGGGCCCCCAGGCCCCTGGCTTACAGATGTGCTTTGTGACTTCCTGAGGAAGCAACCTTCCCATTACAGCAGCCAAGACAGACCTTGGCAGGAACCCATGACCTACTCTAAGCCACACCTTTTGGGAGATGGGAGAGAGAACCATTAGAGGCTACCTAGCAAGATATAAAAGGCATCCCCCCCCCCCCCTTTTGTGACTACTTAGCTCCAGAAGCCAAAATAGAAGCTACATAGATGTGTACCATATTAAACTGAGGAGAGAGATGCTAGCCTGATGCTATCATTAGATTATTTAGGGGGTCAGAAAATCTTGGGGACTAGTTTATCCCATAAACTTGAAGAACTTTGGGCTAGGTTAAGAGGACTTTCCTTTCTGGACTATTTTTCCAGCCAACCTGGCTTGTCAAACTAAATTGCCTTTTCAGTTTTAAGTATCTAATCAAAGGGAGGGTGGATGAAGGAGGAGAAGGAGGATGTCCTAGTGAGGCAGAAGAAAGCAATGAGTTGGTTCTTGCCTCCCATCTGGGGTTCCTAAAAAGGGAGGCAATAACTGTCCAGGGAAAGGGGGAAAGGAATCGAATCACAAGGCTCTCTCAGTTGTCCTTGATGCCTCTGTCATTGCCTAAAGTTCTCAGTGATGGTTTGAGTGAGTAGTGGCCCCAGAAGACTCCTGAGCTGCTTCTTGTCTGTGTGGCTCTGGAATAAAAGTGCAAGGAGACATTTATCAGAAAAACTGTAATTGCCTTCAGACCTTTTCTTGAAGTCTAAAGGAGCCCTTCTTGCTAGGGGCTGCTTTGTTGCAGTTGAGTGAGAGCCTTGTTGAAGTAGCAATACAGTCATCCCCCATTTAAGGGTCATAGACATTGCCCTGCAGATTTCAGCTTCTTGACCCTTGTTCCCAGGTTGAAGCCTAGAGGACTCCCAAAACTCCTTAAATGCTCTGTGTATTATTGAGACCGCATAATCTTGTGTAGAGTTTCCCCAAGAGCCTTTATTTCAGGGTGTAAAGACTTAAGATGTTATACTACATAAGAGAAAGTAAAAGTGGCTCCTAAGAGATATTTGGGTAGACTGTAAAAACTAGGGTCCCAGGTTTGAACTCAGCCATGACCTATTTCCTTCCTTCCTTCCTTCCTTCCTTCCTTCCTTCTTTCCTTCCTTCCTTCCTCTCTCTCTCTCTCTCTCTCTCTCTCTCTCTCTCTTCCTCACCTGAGGATATTTTTTTCCATTTATTTTCAGAGAGAGAGAGAAACATCGATGTGAGAGAAACAATCGACTGGTTGCCTCTCGCATGGCCGCAACCAGGGCCAGGACTGAACTGCAACTGAGGTACAAACCCACAACTTTAGTCCGAGGGCTGACGCTCGAACCACTGAGCAAACCAACCAGGACCCTATTTCATTTCTTGCCATTATTTATTGAGACCTCTCTCTAGAGTCTCCTCTTCTCTGGACTTAGTTTTCTCATTTATAAAATAAAGACAAACTATCTTTTTAAAGTTTAAGCAATAGCTCCTCACTCTCTCTTCCAAAGAATATCATAGGGACCTGATATCACTGAGTCAGCAAATTCATTCACCTTATATTTATTGAGCATCTGCTCTATTCTAGATACTACACTAGGTGTTAGGGACACAGTGGGTAGCAACATAGACACAAATATGGCCTTGCCTTCCTGAAACTTACAGTTCAATAGAAGTTTATCATTTTTGCTCACTCCCTCAGTGTGAGCCCTCTGAGGGCAGAATGGGGGCTATCTCCTTAAACCCTAAAGGAAATAAAGCAATGCCGATGTTAGCATCATTTCCCCTTTCTGGACTAAGCTGTACTCATACAGGCCTGTCACATGGGCTCCATCATCAAATAATCCTCCCCTAATAATAGTGGTGGGAAGAATCCAGAAGCCATTCCTCTGGGGGTGAAATTAAGCTATGGAGGGAAGAGCATCTTTATTTTTTTATTATTTACTTGAAAAAGAAACTCAAGCTTAAAAAAGAGGCCTGGAGGAATGGCAAGAGTAAAAAGAGAAGGCACAGCCAGCACATCTGGGTGTTTCCAAGGTGCTAATTTAAGTATTAGTTCTCAACTTAGTGGGAGGAAGAGATCCCTGCCCTGTTGCTGCTGCTGCTGTTGTTGCAGCTGTCAGGAGTCTTCTGTCTGGGGTGGGAGTTGGTGGCCTCCCTCTTTTCCCCTTCACACCAATTATTTCATTGGCCTGGTTGTATCTCAGCAGCTGAACCAGGCCTGGGCTTATCCCTGAGAGCTCCCCAGGGTCTCTTCCTGTCTCATTATGAAAGGAATGAGAGCTCCTCTTGGAGACCTAGTCCCTGGACTCCACTCCTGCTGTGTCTATCTTCTAGAAAATCCTTAGTGTTTTTGAGCACAGATTTTCCCAAAGAAACTGCCAGGAATGTAAGTTCTGTGTCCAAGCCACATACCTCTCTGATCTAGAGAGCACCCATCTATTTGTTTAAGGCTCTCTATTGAGCAGTTGGGTTGAATTTGGGCTATTGTTTGCATGTGCAGCAGCAGTCGGCTCTCTGGCCCTATTGTCTGTCTTCTAGTCTGGTTGGTGCAGCCTCACAGTCTATGTCTTCTACTTGGCTACAACTGGAGAGGAAGAGAATTGTTGGGGGGGAAAAAATGGAGCTTTTAAAGTTAATTATGTCAGACAAAACCCTGCCCCCTATGTTTTCAGAGACCAACTAGACTAAAAAACAGCATATGGCATCAGACAGGGTCTCTGTACACTTGACAGAAATGCTAGTCTAGCCTTCCTGAAACCCAGGTTGTCTGTTAACTCATTTGTTTAGTTCGTGAGCATATGCTCAGTTCCAGGTACTTTAAGGATAGAGACAAGTGAGATCTCTTCAGTGATTGGCCAGGAGAAGGATGGACTCAAATGGCTACAGGAAAGTTTTAGATACATGTCAAGAAAGAATGGGGATTAATGGAGGGTGTTCCTGAGAAAGGGTGATACCTCCCTTGGGAGAAGATGAGAAATGCTGAAGTTCTGACCCTTTAACCATCTGAACTTAGAAAGTAGTTTCAGGTATCTCCTGCCTCCTGACATTCAGGGATGGGGAAGGTCAGGGAATTAATTCAGCGAGTGAGCAACAGTAACCCCTGAAAGTGGCAGAGAAAACATTGTGAAGATAGCTAGAGCCACGATGAAAAATTGACCTATGTTTATTCTGTGGTCAGGGAGCCTTAAGTTGCCTCTTTGTAGTCAAATGACTTTTCGATTGAAGGGTGGATTCTCCTAATGGGTCCATGTGGCTCAT